ACTAGCGCGTCGCGATCAGCTGATGGCAGCGTCGTCGCGGGCGCTCTTGCCGTAAGCGCCCGCGACGACGGTGAGCCGCGCCGCTCCTGCCTGCCTCTAGTATCTGGCCCGTCATTCGATATCTTTTCCTCTTTATAATTTAAAAATTAAACTTCGGAGAAAATTTTGCAAGAGGAAAAATCATTTCAGAATTAAGTTTAGAATACGACATTTTAAGGACAAGTGGTTGTTCTGAATCACCCTGTATGTATAGAAGCATGTATCAACTGCTTCTAGCAACTTTCTGGCTTGGTAAAAATCATTGGACGAAAACATATGTAACGTATGTTTGTTTTTACTCGATCTTTTTATCATAAATCGGGCATTACTTAACTTTTGTGTTAATAACGTTTCTGTGTCTTTAGGGTCTTGATAAAGAATATTTATCGGAGGGGGTTTGACTTCTTTTTTCTTTCCTTGATCAGCTTCTTTCGTCGATGTCAGTCTTCCGTTTGCTTGTTGTGACGCGCCTGGGACTGGTGATGTGGTGGCTGTTGCGTTGTCTGCTGCCAGGAATCCTTGCGTCGTTGGCTTCCCTCGTTTTCGGTTCTGGGTGGTATCTACGTTCTTCTTCTTTAGCTTCTCTATGAAGTTCGTCTCTGGATCTATTTCTGATGTGTTGAATATTTCATTCAGGATGTCGAATTTGTTCTCGGTGTTGACGTTATAAGATGTTGTCGATTCTGTCGGGTCCTCTTGGAAATCCATAATGTTATTTGTAGACGTGTCAGTTTGAGTAACATTCGTCTTCTCGTTACTTCCTTGCTCGATTACTTTGTCTTCTTCTTGATTATGTTGCAAAAGCGTTGTCTTTGCTACTGCTTGCTTTTTGGATCTCGCCATGCCGAGATTCGGGACTGGATTTTTTCTCTTAGTCTGGAGCTTTAATTGCTTGATAAGAGACTTAGTTTCGCGGCTGTTGTGGCTTAGTAGCTTGTAAATTAGAGCATTAGTGCTCGGCTCATTTGTCGCCCGTTTGGTTAGGTTTGAGGTTATGATTTTATCATTTCTCGTGGTCGGCTCAGATCCGCGAAGATCCGCACTCCGCTCCGTGTCTAACGCTAACTTGGTGTTGTCCGCCACTGTGATGTTATGAGGGTCTATATTTGCCTCATATGGTAATTCAAAATGAATTCTGCTGTGAGGCATTATCAATTTTGTAATGTAATTTTGGCCGGATATTTGTATCCTCAACTGCGGAAGAGGAAACGAATACGAACCGTTGGTGTGAGAGAGATTTTTCGGAGAAGAATCCAGTTTGGTGACGGATGTAACCTTGAAATGTCACTCTTGAATTCGAGTGCAACGCGCACAAGAATCGAGAGCGTTGATTGGCTGAAAGAGTCACGTGAACAGCCCGATTAATCTATGCGCTCTTGACTCGATAAGCGACGAGACGCTACTCCCGACGAGAACTCAGTATATCGTGCAAGAAACAGTGTAACGTGTACGTACCATAAAGCTATCATATATTGCATACATTTTTCCACATTTATTGTTTCTTTTCAAACTGTTTTAGCAATCGTCGTTACACGCCGTATGTTCCTCAAAGTAGTTGTAGTTATACGCCATCCATTCCTCAAAGTTATACACCATCCGTTTCTCGAGATAAAACTGTTTCGTGCAAGAAACAACATGATGCGTAAGTACCATGAAATTATCGTATATTCGTTCATACTTTTCATCATTTGATTGTAATTATTTTTACTTTATGTATTCTTTTAGTTCCGATAAACCTTGCTACACGCCTCGTATCATGAGCAGGAGATTCGCCCTGACATCCACTGCATACAAATACTTGGATGTTGGAATCTGCGTGGTATCTGGTGCATCCTATGTGGAAATCATTCTCGGCGACAATCGCGGAAATCGGATGGCGTTAGATTATTCAATGTGGACGGAATTGAACAAGAAACGCACAGAAATTGAGCAGCTCTTGAAAACAGCAGATGCGTCATCGCCATCATCATCGATGCATATTAACGATTTAGTTTTAGAACTCGTCACAATGTACGACGGAAAAATTGTAAAGTTAACATTTAACAATACTTGCATGTATAGGAAAGTACCAACTGTATTATTTTTATTCCAACTCGAACATTGTGTCGGGCACGTATATCGCAAACTGTGTGACAAGTTAGGCGATATAGATCAAAGCTTCGATCAACTTGTGAGCTGCTTACATGGCAATTTGATCGGTGTCGAAAGAGACGATGCAGTTAGAATACTGCACAACTGGTATGACAAATCTTCGGCCATAGATTGTGAACTAATAGCATATGTCGTAGATGAAATTATTGCTGAGGCTTTTAAACGAGATGAGAACGATAAATTTATAATTGAAAATAAAAATTTATTGTTTGACTAACATTTTTCTTCCACTTCCAATCCATTCTATCTTCCCTTCCCAAGTAGTTAATAAGAAGAAGAAGAGCGACAACATAGGGCTATATGCGAGGAATAGGATGCGAACGGGGAGAGAAGAAAATACGAGCGGAGAAAAAATAGACATCGTTTCAATATATGTATAATATATATTTATTTTGCTTACAGCAATTGAATACACTTCTTAACACATGTTGCTACATATTTTTATGGTTAGACCACCACTTGTAAAGTTTAAAAACATTTTGTAAAGCGCAATTTGTTACATGTTTCTGGCAGTGAAAAGTATGTGTAACATCCAATTTATTTAGAGATGGTATGTCCTCGTAGTCTACATCAATAGTTTCAATATAGACATCTCCTCTCGCGTCATCCAAGAGCATATCCTTCAGCCATTCTCGTTTTTCGTGTCCCTTGACGTAGATGAGAAACGGTGTCTCAAGGTCGTCATCATCTTCCATGCCGACCACAGCCGTTGTAATCAGACTTCTAGCCCTGCTGTATGGAATCATTCCGTCTTCCCATCATACTCCATGACGATTTGCAATCAACCAGGATGCCTGATGTTTCTCCGCTTTGGTGAGAAGCCTCTATGGTACGGGACATGTGAAAATGTAGTGAGAGAGAACGCGTCCCTCTCGGAGAGCGGCAAATTCCTTTACAACAAAGTTACCGCTGACGACGAAGCCTTGCAGGTCCACAAACGTCGGTATGGACATGATTGAATACGTCGAGAGAAGGAGGAATACTGCGGTTGCTCTTGACGCATAGTACATTTTAAATCGTTTCATCCCCTCTAAACTGTATTGGAAGGAGGGAAAACCATTGGTCCAAAATGTAGTACTTAGGGAATTTTGCGCACGACGCTGGTCAGCGGGTTGTACTGAACCACACGATCATGTATGATGAGACAGTACGCAGTGGTATTCACTGGCACATTTTCCTTACACTCAAATTCCAATCTCACGTCCACAGTCGCGCTCTTGACTGACTCGTTTTGTCGGGAGCAATCGATAATGACAAACGGTCCTTGTTCTAGAAAATTGCCTGTAGTGAGACCGGGCATAAGAACCTAGTTTCCGAAATAGCTCTTCTGGAACCGCGAAAACGCATCATACAGACTCGACCATTTGTTTTTATCGAAATCCAGATTCATATCATCGTATGGATAACATTCCGAATTCAGATAGAGTTTCACGTTGCTCAATTTGCAGTGACTGAATTGGCTCACATTCTGTGACATGATATTCTTCCGACCTGTTTGCAGAGCAAAGATAAGATACCGCGGCTTCTCGAGCTGAGTAGCCGTTTTAGCCCATGAATGTTTAGTCGTCTGTTGCAATAGCGGATACTCGTACAGATCCCATGAACGAAATCCCATATTGAGGTGTTGTCCGCTTTCCAAAGCACGCAGCATCGAAAGTTTGTTCACCTCGTTTAACAACACATGCGGCATGCGCCACTGTATCTTGAATATTTCAAGTTTAGGCTCCATCGCTGCATTTCCAAAGAGACAGTTGTTATCATTGCGCAATCGTATTAAAATCAATTCGTGACGGGCGTTAATCACCACGCGTTGATAATCTTCACAGAATCCCAATAGCATGCTGAGCGGCACACAAAAATTAAAGTCTCCGGTTCCATTGTTCACCACATCCCAGCCAGCATTCTTCAGAGACATCATTTTATCGAACGATGACGAGACATAGGTCTTGAGCGTGCTGGTTATTCCAACATTTCTGGCGCGATCAATCTCCACACCATCAAGTTCATATCGGATCTCGTCGAACATGAACGCGACACAATTATTTCCCAGTACTACATCAGATCCTTCAATTTGATTGGCAGTAGTTAGTTTTCCCTCGATGTACAGAAAACTTTCATGCGGCAACGTATAGAGATCCTGTTGTTGTATTGGTATTCTTATCTCATCGCTGTGCCCGAATGTAGTGTTGGCAAACGGATTGTACGAGTGAGTCTCAATCTTGACGATGCGCTCGTCGAAGATTGGCTCTTCGTTGATATTGAGAATGTCAATCATTGTTTGCACACTGCGAATCCCAAAGACGTTAAAAATTCCACGTTCAATGCGTTGAGTTTCTTCTTCTTGCAACAACTAGACGACTGGATATCACCGAATCTCGATGTCGCGGGTTTGGTGGTATCTTTTACAATTTGCTCCGATCCGTTCAGCACGAGCATCTCATGCACACTCGCGCGCGTTATCGCTGTCGTCGGCGTACGTGCAATCTGAGAGTGATTTCTTCTCCGCGAAAGCGGAGCAATTGACTGTTCTGATCCACAACGCGTACCGTTAAATCGGTAATGCTCCGTGCGATGACTGGCAGGTAAATGAGAGTGAGTCCCGATTGCGCACATAACCGATCGGACACGGCAATATTTCCCGATCGGACACAGTCCCGATCGGACACAGCCCCAATCGGACACAGTCCCGATCAGATACCGTTCCTATCGGACACATTCCCGATCGGACCCATACGGTTGCAATCGGACACAGATTCTATCGGACACAGGCTCGATCGGACACATTTTACATCGGACACATGGTTGCAATCGGACACAGATTCTATCGGACACAGGCCCGTTCGGACACAGGCTCCATCGGACACAGGCCCGATCGGACACAGT